TATTTACGATTATAATTAGTACGTTTATTGAAATCGAAAAAACAGCAAACATTTTTCGAAAAATAGACAGGACCAAATTTAGCACTTTTACCTGCAAGCTGATTAAAATTCTCAGCCGAAAAGTCAGGAAAAATAATGCGCGTTAATGAACTTGCGTAAGGTTAGGCGTTCTTTGTAACTAACGCCATCTGTGATCAACACTCATAAATTCCAAGAAATGTAAGAAATATATCGTATGGTGCATCTTGCCCGTGGTGCAATCAGCCTCACTCTCCCCTACTACAGCACGGAGAAAAATGTAAATTGAGATTTCAGACTGAGTATAGAACAATTGGAATAATTTCTGTTACTGCTCCCACAACATCGGAATTTTCCTAAAGATTTATTTGAAATGTTCGGAATATTTAATTGCAATGTTTAGTGACAATTGTGTAAAGATTTAAATGTCCCTCTTGAATAAATGTTTAGCGCGAAACTTTCCTGAACATTTATTTAATTGGGACATTTAAATCTTTACACAATTTTTACTAAACATTGCAATTAAATATTCCGAACATTTCAAATAAATCTTTAGGAAAGTTTTGGTGCTGTGGGGGCGTAGGAATAAATAGAACATTTTAGGTTTCTATCCCAAAAAGTTTAGTAATGATTATCAATTAAAATGAATTCTAAACATCTTAGAATACGCTAATATTTTCCTTTAAGTAAGTGTTATCAGTTTCCGTGATTTGTTTTAACTCGTTAAAGAATTACTATGAAATAAATTTTAAGATCGTGTTCTAGAGTGAAATGTAATCTTAATTGAAGTTCATATTAGCGGTCACATTAATTGTGTACATTTTAGTACTTTGAAAAAGCAATGAATTATAAGTTGAGTACAATTATAACATTTACATTTATTTTAATTCAGTTTTTCAATGATTAGAATAGTCTTTAGATTTATTTCTAAGCAGTTAAGGGTTCAATCATAGGCACAACAATAAATCTGTGACGCACCGGCGTTGTGCTCTCACATCAGTGTGTTGCTTGCCCTTACCGGAACGGGCCTTACGTCATATATATATGGGGCGGTCCACGCCATTCCAACATATCATCGACTTGGACATTTTTGATTTCGCTCAAATTTTTTTACCCTTTTTTACTCATTGAAAAAGAGCTTCCTGATTTTTTTCAAATTTTTTTATAAAGCCGTTTTTGAAATATAAATTTTTCAAAATTTTTGAAAAAAAAATTTTTTTTTTTTGAAAGCTCATAACTTTTTGATAAATGCACCAATTTTAATTTTTTTTTCAAATTGTGTGTTTTCAAATTAACTTTTCAAAACTTTCATGCAAGAAATAAAAAAAAAATTATTAACCTTATTTTTTGTAATTTTAAGATAAAAATCTTATTTTTAAAAGTGTTTGTATATTTTGATTTTTTTCAAAAAATTTTCAAAAAAACTACTTCTTATAACACAAATTTTAAGCCTAGTCCGGTCGTGGGAAAACAATTTTTAAACATTTGTTTTTTACTCAAATATGATTTCTAATGTTTCAGTAAAAGAGTTAATTAATAAAAACTTATAAATGGAGGTAAGGGGCCGTCCATAAACTACGTTACCTATTTTAGGGGGGAGGGGGTCAAAAAATCTAAAAAAAAATGCATTTAACTCAATGGTAACGAGGGGGGAGGGGGTCTAAAAAGAATGAAGAAGTGGTAACGTAGTTTATGGACGGCCCCTAATTATAATAATAAACTTGTATTTGGAACTAGAATTTTGATCTTTTTTTTATCCAATTTTTTGACGTTTAAATATTTTGCAAGAATAATTCTCATTTGAGCTGGAAAATATCTGCATAGTTAAAGATTTTTATCTTAAAATTACAAAAAAAAAGGTTAATAATTTTTTTTTTATTTTTTGCATGAAAGTTTTGAAAAGTTCATTTGAAAACACACAATTTGAAAAAAAATTAAAATTGATGCATTTATCAAAAAGTTATGAGCTTTCAAAAAAAAAAATTTTTTTTTCAAAAATTTTGAAAAATTTATATCTCGAAAACGGCTTTATAAAAAAATTTGAAAAAAATCAGGAAGCTCTTTTTCAATGAGTAAAAAAGGTTAAAAAAATTTAAGCGAAATCAATAATGTCCAAGTCGATGATATGTTGGAATGGCGTGGACCGCCCCATATACATATGAGAGATTCTTTTTCAATCGCCCCAGCCCAAAAAGTCAATGTTCTGGGATTGGCTTCATACTTTGGTAAATTGTTGTCCTATATGATAGTAATAAATCCCTAAAATATAAACTCATTAAAAAAATATTTGTAGAAAGTAGAGGGGGTTGAAGTTTTGACGTTAAGGGTAACATTGTCATTTTCAAATCCGTATAACTATGACAAAAGTTAATGGATTTTAATTTATCCATAATGAATTTTAATGCATTTTTCACGTACTTTTCAAAAATGTATACGAAATTAAAAAAAAAAAAATTTTAACCCCTTTTTTTCAAAATCAACCCTTATTTTTCGATTTTCACCCCTTCGGGTATTTTTTTTTTTTATTTTCATTGGAAAGCTGAGATTTTTTCCCATGAGCTATGTAAATATGAAAATGGGACAATAATAATTTTGTGAGAAACAGAATATTAAAGTAGGCGGTGCCGATAAGGGGTATACCTAGAGATCATCTTCGAGGATTTAGGTAGGCACCGCCTAATTTAATATTATGTTTCTCACAAAATTATTATTGTCCCATTTTCATATTTACATAGCTCATGGGAAAAAACCTCAGCTTTCCAATGAAAATAATAAAAAAAAAAAAAAAATTCCCGAAGGGGTGAAAATTGAAAAATAAGGGTTGATTTTGAAAAAAAAGGGGTAAAATTTTTTTTTTTTAATTTTTGTAAACATTTTTGAAAAGTACGTAAAAAATGCATTAAAATTCATTATAGATAAATTAAAATCCATTAACTTTTGTTATAGTTATACGGATTTGAAAATGACAATGTTACCCTTAACGGCACCCTTATCGGCACCGCCTACTTTAATATTCTGTTTCTCACAAAATTATTATTGTCCCATTTTCATATTTACATAGCTCCTGGGAAAAAATCTCAGCTTTCCAATGAAAATAAAAAAAAAAAAATACCCGAAGGGGTGAAAATCGAAAAATAAGGGTTGATTTTGAAAAAAAAGGGGTTAAAATTTTTTTTTTTTAAATTTCGTATACATTTTTGAAAAGTACGTGAAAAATGCATTAAAATTCATTATGGATAAATTAAAATCCATTAACTTTTGTCATAGTTATACGGATTTGAAAATGACAATGTTACCCTTAACGTCAAAACTTCAACCCCCTCTACTTTCTACAAATATTTTTTTAATGAGTTTATATTTTAGGGATTTATTACTATCATATAGGACAACAATTTAGCAAAGTATGAAGCCAATCCCAGAACATTGACTTTTTGGGCTGGGGCGATTGAAAAAGAATCTCTCATATATGACCCGGCTGAAAAAACTTTTACAAGAAATTGTACAAGTTCTTGTACATGTTCACTAATGAACTTGTACATTTTCTTGTACATGTTCGAGTAATGTTCTTGAACAAGTTCAGCATCCGGAATTGAGACATGTTCTTGTACCAGTACTTGTGCAAGATCCTGGACAAGAAAATATACTTGTACAAGAAAATGTACATATTTTTTTGTGCAGGTTTCATATACATTTTCTTGTATCAGATGTGGAACATGTTCTTGTACATGTTCACTTATGTCTTTTAAATTAAAAATTAAAAACTTTAAAGGCTGCGCAGTAGTTTTTTTAAGCCTTTACAGCTGCGCAATAATTTTTAGCATGCATAAGTGAAGATTCTTAATAATTATAACTTATTAAAATTTCAAATTTTTTTCAAAAACATTTTTAAACGAATGTTCCTGTACAAGAACATAAACGTGTTCATGTAAAGTACTTGTACATTTTCTTGTACAAGTATATTTTCTTATCCAAGATCTTGTACAAGTTCTGGTACAAGAACATGTCTCAATTCCGGATGCTGAACTTGTTCAAGAACATTTCTTGTACAAGTTTTTTCAGCCGAGGTGTCCTCGTCAAAATTGTGAAAAGTGTGTGCAGTGTGCGTGCTTTATTGTTTATTATTTTAAAATGGATGAATCTTCTTCCATAAAGAAGCAGTTATCATTTTATTGGAATATTCAATTGTAAATTCAATAAAAAATCTAAAATCAAATAAATAAAAATGTTAGAATAGTTAGAATTTTAAAAATATTTACAATGAAATTTTGATTTATCTTTTATAGATATATTTAAAAATGGAATCGTTCTTTAAACTGTTTAACAAAAACCTTTAGTGAAAATTATATAAAAAACTTGGATTTAATTTTTAAAGAGATTCGGTGTTTAAATATCTTAAAGATATAATAAAAATTCCCTGTAAAAGTTTCTTAAAATTAAAAATATTCTAATATTTTTAATTATTTTATTTTTCGATTTTATATTTAGTTTCCAAATTAAATATTCTAATAAAAGTAAATATATATTTTTTATAGAAACATAAATTAAAATTAATGATAAATTTTTTCAGCCGGGGAGGCTTACGATGTAACTTCACAATCCATACAAATAATGATAAGTTGACCTTACAGTGATATGTTGTGCTGTGTGGGAAATTATTTGAATTAAAATTTTTTTATCCCTCAGACACAAACATAGCGTTATAGTTTAGGATCCCAATCAAATAACTCGACCGACCCTTGGATGGACGCTTTGTTAACAGTCAGAAAAATATTTTTTTTGTGGTATAGCTGCAAAAATTTCGTTATTATTATTAATTAAAAATTAAAGAAATATATTTTGCAACCTTTATTTCAAGTTTACATAAATGAATGTTAAAAAATTTTATGGACAAGTTTTAAAAACTTATAATTTAAGGCAATTCTATTTGATTGTTATTTTTAAAAAAATAATATAATAATGGAAGTAAAATTTTGCGTTTGTAGGTCTCCTAATGAAATTGATAGTTTGAGTAGAGCAAGTGTTTTGAGAGATGGAGCTGCGTTCCGTCCGGCATCTGCACCGCACACTCTTTTGCTAGAGAATCAGCAATATCATTCATTTTCACATTCTTCAGAAACTCTTGTACACCCACACACTGCGCCTCATACTCCAACAGAATCAGAAAGAGAATTAGAAAGAAATCGATCTGAGAAGCAAGGAAATGAGGAACACAGAGAAAATGTTGCAGAAGGTAGTGTATTTTATTTAAATAAATTAAATTATTTACATAATTTGATTTTGAAAGAGAGTCCAATTCTCGTCTTGAAATGGGACACGTAAAAGTAAGGTAAATCATCCAACAGTCGATCAGAACCAGTAGTCGATCACTTTGATATAATTGGGATATAGTTAATTTATAGTTTAAAATTAAATTAATATTAAAAGTGTACAAACTATTGTAAAAATATTTAGAATGTAAAGTTTATTTATTATCAGTAATTTATTTATCTGATAATGGAATTATTTTCCTGCACCCCTTCTAAATAGCGTGTCACTGATTTGAAGTTAACTTGTTATTCCACTGCAGTCGCTTGATAAGTATGATTTCATCATTGATCGACTACTAGTTATTATTAATTGACTACCTTATGTCACACCATTCTATTCCCTTGAATAAAATTAGTAATTTAAATAAGTTTAATCAATGTAATTTCAGACCTTCGAGTTAAGCAAGAGCCAGTATCAATTATTGACAGAGAGAAAGATGATAAAATAATCGACAGACTAACTAATGATGTGTATTCAGGAAGAGGATTTGACATTGGAAGTTACAGTACTACTACGGATCACTTACAACATGGAGTTCAACTTGGTCCTAGTATGGCTAGTTTACCTCCTGTTCATCCACCAACTCCTGACCTCAGTCCTGTACCACCAACACCTGCAATGTGGAATTCAAAAATAAATAAAGTTGGCACAGTTTCTACACCCGATGGTGAGTTTAGTTTATTAAATAATTCAACTTAATTACTTTTCATACTGGCATAAAAGATCTCTTGCACATTGATTTAGGTCTGTCGGTTTTCAATCTGAAACGCAAGTCGAGAATTTCTATGCTATATGTATGATGAAATTGAATAAATAAACAGTAAATTTCCTTACCGGCAAGGAGACATCTATTAAATACCATTTAAGCTTTTTTAATGATAAATAAAATTAATTATATGGATGGATTTATTGACAAATACTTAGCAAAATTGAAATTTTTCATCATCTGAATTTCAGATTTTCCCTGTCAATGCTAGGTAACACTATAAATTTTTGAGCAAAAGTTAATCTACCTAATCGACACGTGATAAGTATCAATTATATCGACAAACGACTGATGAGAGACGTCTTTCGGAAAATCTCACAACGCCAATTTAATTTCTAACAAAAGTTCCAGAAGCCCTTAATGTATCAGTTATACATAGGCTGTCATACTGTTTTCCTCATAGGAACCCATGTGGGAAACCTTATGGGACATCATACAAAATCGTATACTTATTTTGAACAGGAATTTGAATAGGAAAAAATGTAGGAATTATTATATAAAACCACATTATATTTTAAAATCCTGCACAGTAGTTTTTTACAACTTTTTCAGCTGTACAGTAGACCGTTATGAAACTTGAACATTTTAAACTTTTACCCTACATAGAGGTTTACCTGTATTAAGTAAAAAATTAAGAAGATCAAATATTTTAATTAACTTCTATTTCGATTAAATGTTGCGTAAATTTGATATATTTTTAGAAAATTTGAACATCTCTTGCATTTTGACTATATTAAACACCAACGTAAAAGGCGCGCGCAGCCTCCGTCTAGTATTCTACACGGAAAGAAAAATTGTAATAATATTTAATATTTTGAAATCAATTTTTACTATAGTTGGTAACATGTAATGAAAACTAACGGATTTCATTAATTATTATTATTATCACTTTTAAGAAAGCCTGAAATAAAAATAATATTATATACCTAATATAGTTAGAAAATAAAAACTAGTAAAGTTATTTAAAAAATTAAAATTTTACTATAGGAAACTCAAATGACAATTTTTATTAAGAATTTTAGAAATGTCATTATAAAATGATTACGTTAATGGCTTCAATATTTTCATATTTTGGTATAGCCCATACGAAAATTTCAGAAAAGAAGGTTGGGGAAGAGGGACCGAAGGCAACCGAACGAGTCTGAATGAATTTGACCGATTGCTAACGAAAAGTCACTATGATTACTCCTGAATTTGGCTATTTTTTTCATTCATTCTATTTCAGTTATATTTATTAAAACGATTTGTTTTTCGAATTTATGTAAAATATATATTGTATTTCTTTAATCATTATTAAGATTAAACTGAATTGAATGTGGATCTTATAACCGAGCAACTTAAAAGTTCACATAACGAGTAGTAATTAAATTTTAAAAGTAAAAACATTTCTCAAAATTTGATAATAAAGTTTTAAATATTTACTCAATTCACTAACTAATTAAATTAGGAGTACTGGTATTTTAGATTATCAAGAATTTTATAAGAAATTCATGATCATTGTTACTTTAAAAAATGACCTCTTAAACGTTAGTTTAAGTTAGTTATTGTTTTCTTATGAATATTAAAAAATAATAGATCATATAATTTAAATTAATAAATAAAGCGTTTCTCGCAAGTGCATTGAAATCTATCTTCTTAGTATATAAGGAAATTTTCTACCTTCGTGAAACATGTATATAATATAAGTGTGTGCGTTGCGATATTCTGCGTTTATGTATATGCGTATTTTCGATAAGTTAGGTAGGGATATTTAAGAAAATCAAAGCGAACCTGCGTGCGTGTGTAGTTGTGTATATAAACCATACCTGCATCCTCTGCTACAATAGAGAACAATTAACAGCGATGTTTTTTCTTTTATTTTAATGTCGTTTTCAATTTTCCGTATAGTTTTAGCAAACGAAATGCGCGCTTTTTAATACCGCTTCCCTTTTTCATATAGTTTTAGTAAAACTAAGAAAACTTTTTTATGAATTTTAGAATAGTAATTTTAATTTCTGTTAAAATTGTTTCTACAAAGCTTTTGCTAAAAATATATTAATTTTTAATAAATAGCCTTAGTTTCCATGACTTGCTAAAGAATATACTAAATTTTTGTATCATTTTTAACATTTATTGCAAAGGATTTTTTTCCGTGTAATAATTTATTAAACTAGAGTGTATTTCCTTTAGGAATTTGTTATTATTATGTAATTAAAATATGTTGTTTGTTATAGGCAAGAAACTAAAATGCCCCTTCTGTGAGAGACTTTACGGCTATGAAACGAATTTACGAGCTCACATAAGGCAACGTCATCAGGGTATTAGGGTTCCATGTCCTTTTTGCACTAGGACTTTTACCAGGAACAATACAGTACGACGACACATCGCACGAGAGCATAAAACAGAGTTGAGTTTAAAGTCGTTCCAACAGGCAAATCATTCAGTATCTGATACAGTATCTCAATAGTACTCATTCAAGAAAAGAATACTGAAAACATAATTATTCAAATGAAAATTGAAAACCATGATGAAAAACGATTACTATAGGGACCTGCGAGTGTCGAATTAGTCACCTTCTCTATATTCTTTTATGGCATCCAAAACTGTTCTCACTTTCGTTAATATCACAACTTTTTATGAGAAGTTCAAACCAAAATAGACATTTAAAATGTCACTCTGAGCTCATAAATAAAACTATTTTACGGCAAAAATGCTACGTAACAATGAGAAAGCATCAAACACAAAACTAGTCAATGAAAGTGCAACAGTCAAGTATAATTATAACTGGGTGTACTACACAAATAAAAAATAAAACTTGAATACACAGAGCATAAATGAGAAAATATGCATATATTGTAGTCATAAACAATGAATGAAAGAGAAAAAGTATGCGTGATGCCAGATTTACAAGTTAACAGACAAAACTGCAAATTATCTCAGGTTATATTATAGATATTATAAAGCAAATTTTGTAATACTGGAACTGCAACTGATGAAAGGCCGTGTTACCATTGATATAAGTAAATTTTTATAAAAATCAAATTTCTATAAACGGATAACTGTTGTTTACCACTTATAACAAATCATACCTAATAGCACCAATTATTTTCTAAAAAAAGTCGGAAAATCATTTCAAAAAGAAATCAAAAAAGAATCTAAATTTAAAAATGATAACCGATTTTTTTTAACACTTGAGGTTTTAGAAATATTCTATAATTTCTATAAATACAATTTTTCAAAAAGTATTTAGATACTCGTAATCGTGAATCATTACAGATTATAACTTTTTATGTTTCAAATGTCAGTTTGATTAAATTGACGAGTTTTTAAACAATAAAATTTTGGTCATGAGCACTAAAAATAGGGTCTATTGTAATGGGTTATCCGATTTTAAAGTTTCAGTTTTATGTCTCAAATCAATTAAAATTTGTAATATAAACAATTTGAAATCTAAAAATCTAAATTTAATATCTAAAATTTATTATAAAATACTGTCATTTATGGAAACTACAAAGTATCTTGGAAACCTTAAATGTTACATAAAAATATTTTTTGAATTTACATTCCAAAGTTGACAAATTAATCTAATTCCATAAAAAATAATGTTATTTTAGATATTTTAAAAGAGGTAGCCATCAATTAGACAGTGAAATAATTTCAAGAAACTTTTTACAATGATTTTCCGACTATTTCTCTCGTTTCATAGAATAAGCATGAGAAAATAATCGGTGCTTTTATGGATAAATACGAGCTATTTATATAATGGCGTTAATCGCTAAATTAAACAATATCATCGATAAATACTCTAAATATTACTGTTCAAGTCAGAACCAAGAATCAAGCTAGTACTTGAAAAAAAAATATAATTTTTAGTTGTAACACGCACAGTGCCAAAAAAATAACACGTCTTTATATCAAAGTGATTTTATACCAGTAGTGATTTTTTTAAAACTGTTTCTATTTCTATGCGATACTAAATATTAAGGATGACCACACACCGACAATTATTATATTTATACCAGGCTGTAAAATGTTTAAAGAACGTGTATACGTGTTATGTTCAAATAACTTCCAACCCCATATGCATATTAATATATATTTATATATATTGACTATTTACCAAAGTAGTTAAAACATATTTTGAAAACTAATCAGTCATCATTAAATTGAAATATTTTCTGAAAATAAATTAGTACTGCAGAAAGGGGCCTTTTAAATCCATAATTTATGCAGTTACAGTTCTAAAAAACGCTGAACCACAACTGTACCATAATAGTTACTTTATAATAAGTAAATATTTCCGATATCCGAAATGTTTAACAAATATAAAATTGTATTTATATGAACTTGTTATAACATTTAGTATTCTACACGTTCTTTAAAATGTTGTTGCCTAGATGAGATATTACCAGGGTTGCGTTAATAGTTTTGTCATTTGAATTTTTTACGCATATTATGTTTTTCTATTACGTATCTATCTCAATGTATTACTTGATGTAATTTAACTTAAATTACATATAATTTATTACAAGTTTTGTAAGGTTTTACAATATTTTTTAAACTTTTTTTTATATGTGCAACAATCTTAACGTAATATTCGTAAAAAATCATCAAGTTACATGTGTAATTGTGCAACCCTGGACATTATTATGAGTCAATCAATATCATTTTGTTATCTATTTACATTATTTAGTACAATGGACTTTTGTCCATAGCAATAGGTTCGCGAACATTATAAAGACGTCACAAATCAGTAGTAGTTTATGGTTAACAGAATCGATATAAAACTGATGGCCATAATTCTATGACAAACAGTGATCAATCACTATAATGAAATGCTGCTAGTCAAGACACCTCCGATATTTTATTGTTGCAGTATTTACAAGTTTTACAAATTTTTCTCATTTTTTTTGTTACAGACGTTTAAAGAATTATTACACAACGATATACCTATAGTTAGTTTGTTAAAGGCAATAGAGCCGATACAGGATTATTTAGTATTTAAAAAAATGTTTTTGTTTTATTAACTTAAAGTGTTTAATTGAAAACCAGTAAACATATTTATTTTTAAATTTTCTACGGAGTCCTGGACATGACTCTAAAATGTATGTTCATTTGTTAGATCTTTTCTTTGATTTTCTTTAAAGTTTTTTTCGTGTATTATTTTTCTCTTCAACAAATTTTTTTCATTATTATTATTGATTCAGTATCTAATTTTATATCCTAATTTTTATTTTGTTTGTTACATTTTTCTACTCATATAAAGTATTTAAAAGAGTAAATAACGAAATTTTTCTGAAACCGACACTTGTCCATTTTTAAGTTATTATAAATAATAAGTACATATACATATTGTAAGAGTTATATAATAATGTAATTGTAATTGACATGCATTTATGCGTGGATCTGCCAAAAGTATAAATATACTACCTCAATCATTTTCTATAACGTTTACCGTACAGGGAACATATAATAGTCTGTTTTATTATCATAAGAATATAAAGTTGCATATAGTAAATAATACCTACAGTTCAAGCATACTATTTCTCCCATTTTTGCGGACAAGAAATAATCTCTTTCACAGATTTGAAAATTTGGAGAAGATAAAAAAAACTCATAGGTACTAAATTTACGTAAATATTTATAAACACTGTAAACGTGAATTGAAAAACGATGATTTTCATCTGTTTTCTATATGAGTCTAATGAAAGGAAAGAAAATATGTAAAAATTGAAAGCTGAAAAAGAGCGCGAATATTACCTCTTCAAGCTACAATTTTATCCACAAGTTAATAATAAAACTTTATTGAACATGTAAACATTAAAAAAATTTATCAAACATTAATCGTTTTCATCAAAATATGTATGAAAAATAAAGAGTATTCGCTCATTACTTCAACAATGGCGAAAATTTGAAGGTTTCGTGTTTAGTGACCGTTGAAAGCTTGACATGTAAAATTTTATTGCGATGATTAGAAAAATACTGTTTAATTGAAATATATAAAGTAAGAAACATGTCAATAATACAATTATTACGGCGTGCGATAAAATTCAGAATGTTTGTCTCAAATGAGATAAGAAAAATATAAATTACATATATATTTCACTGATCGGTATTAATGTATCGGTGTGACGTATCGAGTATACACTCACATGTGTCTAGGAGTGTATAGACATTTAAAGCAGCGTCTACAATAAGCGCGTCGAACGTGGACGTGAACGTGTATCTAATGAGAGAGAGGGGAATAGATGTATATCTCCGTACCCCTCTCTCTCATTAGGTACACGTTCGCGTCTACGTCCCACGCGCTTATTGTAGACGCTGCTTAAACATGTGTCCATATACGCATCACGGTATATGTAATTTAAAACACATTATTACTGTAAATAGATAGTTATTTTGATTGTACGAAAATATTGTAATTAATATATGTATTTTTGCCCATATCTCTGCAGAGCGGAGATAAAACATTTCAATTTAAGTGATGAAGCTTAGCTTCTTTAATTTAAACCTATTTTTTTTTATTTTTAATATAAACTACAAAATAAACTTACATATATTTATACAAAATACGTACAATACAGAAGCAAGTCCGACATTCATGGGATACTTATAAATAATTAAATAAGTGCATTTAAAAAAAAGTAGGGTACAAATTTTGTATATTTTTTCATCTTTAATTTTATGCGAGTAAAAAAAATTTCGTTTTGTTATTTTCGTTCCAATTATGCAATTTTTCGTTTCAACTTTTCTGTTGAAAATACCACTGTTTGTGACATCACTTTAACAAACAAACAAACAATTGAAAAAATGTTCTTCTGTTAATATGCTCAATAATATTATTATTATTATTCAATATTATTAATAAAAATTACTTTTTTAAAGTGTTTGTATTTCTAAACAGTGGAATTAGTTTTTATGTTAGTACTGTTGAGAATACATTCTTGTACATTATTCATATTTCAGGTGTAATCAATTTGAATTGTTTTAATACGACCGGTGATTTAATCTACTGTGTATAAAAAATTTAAAATGTTGACATTTCTGTGATGCAAACTGTGACAACAGTCTAATTTAAGTTGATCATACCTGAAAGAATAGTTAGATATTTTTGACGGATTTATATTTTAGACATATTATTATTATTATTATTATTATTATTATTATTATTATTATTATTATTATTATTATTATTCAATGTATCTCATTGATATTATTTTGGTAAAAAGAAAAATCGGAATTTTTATTGATAGTTAATACTGCAAAGAAGAAATAAAATTTAAAAAATTTATGTTTTCAAATTGTTTAAAAAATCTTGGAAATTAAAGTTCAAGCGATTTACCCTGTTGAAAATTCCTATGTGAGAACACATATGGGATCCCATCCAGGATCTCTTGTGAGTTCTTATGTGGGTTCCCGTACAGGTTCACACATAAGATCCTGTATGAAAAGGTTCCTGGGATGAACTTGCGTGAGATCAAGCGCACGATCTTATGTCTCTGTAAAAGCAATAACACAGGATCCCATGAGGTTTCCTGTGTAGGTTCCTATATGAACAACACGATAAATAGGAACACACATGGGATCTTATCCGAGATCTTGTATGAGTTCTTACATAGGTTCTCACATATAAGAAGATTAATAGCATATATATAAAAGCATTCTATAAAATCTTATTAAGCTGCTATTAATCTTCTTATATGTGAGAACCTATGTAAGAACTCATACAAGATCTCGGATAAGATCCCATGTGTGTTCCTATTTATCGTGTTGTTCATATAGGAACCTACACAGGAAACCTCATGGGATCCTGTGTTATTGCTTTTACAGAGACATAAGATCGTGCGCTTGATCTCACGCAAGTTCATCCCAGGAACCTTTTCATACAGGATCTTATGTGTGAACCTGTACGGGAACCCACATAAGAACTCACAAGAGATCCTGGATGGGATCCCATATGTGTTCTCACATAGGAATTTTCAACAGGGTAAAGGCGCTCTAAAATGTTACAAATCAAAGAAAAATTTATGTCTACTTTTCACAACCATATGTTAACAAACAATGTTGCCTTTTGCGTTTGAATTATAAATTTAGTTAAAATATCTTAGGGATAATTTTCTAATTGTCTATTAACCCGGAAATTAGATCTTGAGTTATTGAATTAAAATTAAAAACTTAAATTCTAGTTAAAATATTTATAGAAACGCACTTTATAATATTTTAGTTAAAAGTCTTGAGTTAATTAAAATTATGTTTAATTTTGTTTTAAACTGACTTCTCACAAAGCTAGTAATTATAACACGTTAATATCTTGATGTTGATCTGTACTATTTTATTCTTAATATTTAGATTTAAACATGCAGTTTTTTCAATGTAAAACTTTGGGGAAATTTTTTATTGTTCTATATCTGTAACGGAAACCTTAGTGCACATATTAAAAAATAGTTTTTGATTAGTTGAGAATATGAAAAACAAGAAATCGGGACAAAGCATTATATAATACATGATATTTCTATTTGGTCAATATGTTTATGGAATAAGTTTAGATTTATTATATTACAGTATTAAGTAACAAACAGCATTTATCGAAAGAGTCAGATTAATTTTGCAAAGAAATTTTGAAAGCAATGTGTTACATGTTTAAATATATGTGTTTTTACACTATATGAAACTTTCTATGAATGTCGTGTGTGCGTACAGTTTGATGAAATTTTATGTTTTATTTATATTAAAATTGATCTACTGTGTCATACATTAATCGTTCTTATCACAAGTTATCATTTTTTAAATGTTCTAATGCATTTTCAAGTAAACATTTTTTGTTGTAATTAAAATACATAAAGTTTTGACAAAACAGATCTATATACGAAATTCAAAATAAAAGTTTTTCAATCTACGTAATGTCTCTTAAGATTAAACATGGCTGAGAGTGTGACGTATACACGCAGCAAGGGCGCACTTGAAAAAAGATTGTTTGGAGTGAAAAAGACTTGAATCATTTTTACTCTATTCAGTGTAAGCCCTTGATGCTCAACTTTATCTATTGAATGTAAGCGCATAGATAATTATAAATAATAATCTTCATAATAGAGTAATACACACATACGAAAAACATGCATTTATGATACATAGATGTAATAGTTAATAATACATAAAAATATAAAGAAAAGTGATGTGAAGTCTCGGGCTCATCGGCAATAAGCGGTATGCTAACCGTGATTAATAGTACAAAATAATGAATAATAAAAATAACGCTAAAAAACAAAGATTAAGAACACAGCAAAAGTGCTATACACATTTTTCATTGCATAACTTATGTATATTTATAAAACCGATTTAACAGATGAGGTAGTTCTCATCTTGATCTACTACAACATCGACATATAGAAGTGAAGCGATTAGAAGAACCGTGAAAACAAAGTACAAAAATAGACTAATTCCACACGATGTTATCATTCCCATTCATTCTTCATTTTTATGTTCTTTTGTAAATTAATTAATATATTAAAGCACATTGAGGCAAAGAGTTTACATTTATTGTACAGACAATTATTTTTTGCTACTAATTTTAAATTATTTCTTCAAATATTTATATAGGCATTATTGAATTGATTATGGTCAGACATTTTGAATATAACTTTCATATTCTTTCTGTTACAAATATAGAGATTTATTTTTATCTTGCAATTTTCAATATTTAAAATTGACATTTAGTTTCGTGCAATTATCATTATCCAAATGTTAATTTTATTATAGAAATGTTATATTTTGATAACTAAACTTTCCATATCGTCAGAAAAAATTATGTTTATTTAATGTAATATAGAACTTATATTTCAAATAGTGTTTGTAAATTTAAAGCAATAGGTTTCTTAGCCGAGGGCGCAATTATTCTGCCCTACAACGAAAAAACATTTGTACGTTTTTCCTTTGAAGGGCAGTATTTTATACAATGTCTTCCTGTGTATTGTAAAAGTGTATCTAAGTATCATATAAGAGTACAATGAGGTCTTTATAATTAATTAAAATTATTCAAACAATTTGTATAATCAATTGGAACAATTTTTTTTTGTTTGGAGCCATAAAAAATACACAAGAAAACATTTCGAGTTTGGCTAAAAACAGTTTTAAAATTACGATACGCTTTAATTTCGTCCTTTATAAAAAATTTTTGACATTATTAAACCTCAAAAAGTAGAACGAATACAATATTTTCAAAGTCAGATTCG